GTCAAAAGTCAAGCAAAAATTGGACTGATATTGGGCACTATTTCAAGCACAATTTTTTGAGACGTAAATTGTACCTATAGCTCGTTCGATATTCGCGCACTGAGGTGAGTATGCTGGGCGTAGAACCTACGCCCAGCATACTCACTGAACGAAGCCTATAACTCCGAAGTTATTCGAGCACTGTTTTTTCTTTTTGGGCACCGTTTGGCACTATTTGGGAACTATTTTTTGAAGTATGAATTATGTTTGAAGCGTATACAGATTCTCCGGACGGAGGTGAGTATGCTGGGCGAAACCTTCGTCCAGCATACTCATCGAACTATGGCTATAACTTCGCAAGTACAAGAGCACTATTTTTTTCCTTTGGGCACTATTTAGCACTATTTCAGAACAGTTTTTTGACATTCATGAAATATCAGGATTCCATGGTGAGTATGCTGGACGAAGGGACACTTTTTTTGTTCTTTATTTTAATTACGAAGGGTTTTATCAAAATTGACAATGTCACCCTCATGAGGATAAATTAAAATGTTTAAATATTGAAACAGACCAAGAGAAACAACGAAAGAAATACTAAATATTTATTGCTGCTTAAAGAATTTGAGGCTTAAGCACTTCTTTGCGGAGTTCACGCTAGTTGTAGACGGACGAGGTCATCTTCTTACAAATTTAGATAAAGTGTCTGCTTGCACGCACAATGTAACTGTTCTGCCTGTAGATGAGGGACGGGATACATGTAAAGGTGGATAAAATCTAAATATTTTATTAGGTACACACATTAAATTTGATTTTTGATAATAGTTCTGGACTACATTGCCGTTAAGACCCTTCAACAAGAATAAACAATCTGCAATGTTGCGTCGATCTACCAGTGGTAACAGATGGAATTTTCTAGAGAATTTAAGATAACGGGCAGACTGATATTTTGGTGAAAACAGATATTATAAAACGTTTTTGAATGTTTTCCACGCGGTCAATAAATTTCTGATATATTAGATTTCATACCTGAGACGCATACTCCAGCTGGCGACCCTTAAAATATTATATTGCATTTAAGTCTTCTGACTTATAATTAGTGATATGGACAGTGCGCTTTCTAGTGTAAGTGACTACAGAACACTTAGATGGGTTGAGATCTAGTTTATTAATCTGACAATACCCATCAAACCGTTGCAAATCCGTCTGGAGTGCCAGACCATCGTCAGGTGTTGAGATAGTAGCTGACAGTTTCATGTCATCAGCAAAACATAAAAGTTTGGATGTATGAAAGCACTTGTTGATGTCGTTCACACAGATTACGAATAAAAAAGGACCGAGCAACGATCCCTGAGGCACAACGCTGGGCAAATTTACCCAGCTAGAAATGTAGGTATCTAATACCACTGCTTGTGAGCTTGTGACCTATTGTCGATGTATGAAGCGAACCACCTCAAGCTGTTAAGCTTCTGTAACAGGGTATCGTGGTCAATCCGGTCAAATGCCTTGCTGTAATCTGTATAAACCACATCAACCTGCTTGCCTTTGTCCATAGCATCCGTGACAGAGTTAAGAGACTGTTGATTTCCTGAAAAAAGAAAAATAAAAAATAAGTAAAAATACAAGCATAGTGCGAACTTGGCATGATGCCTTGTTCACACTACTTTCCTTCGAATTTGGGGCAGAAGCGTGGAGAGCTACCAAAGGCATAAGAGATATAATAAAGAGAACTACCAAAAGCATGCAGCGAAATTTTTTGTAACATTTTAAAAATCCTAGAGAATTCAAAAATGTATAATTTATAGATTTTGAATTAACAAGTGCATTACTCAACTTTGTGTACGTCGTACGCCACGTACAGCGCGGCGCATACGTTTATCGAACGCTTACGTTGCACAAACGCAAGTGCTGTTAGAGTTTTGCCACTGTTATGATAATTGTATACTATAATAAAAATGATGTTTATGTAGGTAACCAGGCAGGAAGCAGCAGCACGAGCCAGGGGGGAGGCGGGGGCGCGGGGG